GAAGAGGTAGAATCAGCACATCACATCCTTTACGAATGTGATGCCCTCGCCCTTACGCGCCTCACTACCTTAGGTAATCCATATCCTAAAGAGCTTCACCTTAATTCCATTAAGGGACTGTTAGACTATATTAATAAAGTAGGCGACCCGAGACAATGGAACTAGGAAAAATTGGGCTTGGAGTATGGTACAAAATGCAACATGTGCAGAGGTGCCACATATCTGACAAGCTCAAGCAAGAAGAAGAAGAAGAAGAAGTTAGTCGAATTATTCTACTACCATCCATATCTTCCTCTTGCTTACTCCAAAAAAATAAAAAGCAGAATAATATCAGAAAATACAAAATCTAATATTATATAGCATCAAAACTAACGCAAAAGAATATTATGGCGAACGCTAGATAATATTAGTTTGCATGGAATCTAATATTATATCATGCTGAGCAAACAGCGACCTTTTTTTCTTTCTAAATATTAGAAGTTGTGCAAGATAACGTTAGATTTTACCGATTTTCTGATGTTAGCTAATATTCGGTGCTACTTGGGGAGGTCCACGAGGGAAAAATGCACAATATTACCGTGATTACAGAGCACGGAAGCGAGCGGAGCAGGAAAAAGAGTCGTTGAATAGAACTAGTGATCCTTCTACGACTGCCGATTCTTCTACAATTAACGTCGCATTTTGCGAAGTTTAACTTCTTCCGCGCGAAGGGACTCTACGCACTATTTTTTTTTGTAAAGATAATCCATTCTGTTTTTGTTTGAAGAAGAAAGAATATCAATTTTTTTTTTTTTTTTTTTTTTTAAGCATTTAGTAGGCCACAATTTGGTTGGAACGTTACTTGCTACACTGAGGAAACCTCCAGTGCAACTGATGATCGTGTTGTTCTGCTAGCAGTCATTCGTCTCTAGCCCATTGCGCAGCTCTAGTGTGACGTAAAGTACCTTTCTAATGTACTTGAAGAAGCGAGCTATAAGCGCATTGCAATATAGTGCTCCAAAAACGCCCGTCTGATGTCATCATCCAAGCAAAAATAAAATCAACAAGCAATAAAATCCACTGAAGAGGTTCATGTTTTCATTATGGTTTCCCCTTCTCGTGTTAAACTAATGATGCTATTTGTTCAAGGCTTGATGAAATAAATAATGAAAAAAAATTAAATTTTGGTTAGGACATGTATTTTTGTTTAATTACTTCTGATATAAATTAGGAAGGTTTGACCAAGTTAGCTTAAAAATCTAAGGTAACGAATCATTATTATCATTCAGACTTATTTTTTAGGAAGTAATCAATATTTTTTTCCTGCTTTGCTTTATTTGCTACTCTAGATGATGTAGTTATTAAATTAGCTAAGGTTTTTTAGGTTGTATAATGCAAAATAAGGACAAGTCCTGTCTGGCTGGCATTCCCTCTTTCTGTGAAGGATGCACCTGTTATCAAATATTTTTAAATAATACTAAAATATATTTTGCAGTTTTCTTGTACCATAAGAATTTTTAAACAACTGATTGTGTGGGAATTTGTCTTTTATTATAACACAATTCTGAGATTAGTTTCCTCGTTAATTCTGAGAAAAAAATTAAAAAGTTGCTTGTTAAAAGTATACATTCTAATATATTTATAATAATCTTTATTGTATTTGGTGTTGTAGTGCTAAATAGCTTTATACCGATGCAAGAAATTTTCATGGGGTGAGAAGCCAGAATTGCGGCGACATTGTCGCAGAATGTTACTGAATTTTTGCAAAAAGATTTTTTATTTGGGGTGTTATGTTACCCAAAATTGGATGAAATTGTCTGGTTTAGTTCAAGGCTTAAAATTTTCGCTCTCCGATTTGGCAAATAATTTAACGCTAGCGAGTAAGATGCATCTTTCAAATCGTTGAATTTTAATTTGAACAATATACGAAGAAGAAAGACTCGTACTTGATAAATATTTGTCGCCAGGCACTTATTCTGATGTTTCAATAACATTTTTTCTATATTTCATATGAAATTTTAGTGATGATTCGTTGTTCAAATATACATATCATTTTTCCGGCAAAACAAAACAGCTATTATATGATCAATCACTAAATTTTTAAGTTTTGCCAACTGAATCGTACTTCATATGGATGGTGTTTTCACTATAAATGTAAACAATAACAACCTTGAGCTCAATACCTGCTCTAGTTTCGGTTAGAAAGTTTGCAACTGCTTACTACAGCTTATTCTGCGAGGCGATATTTTCAAACGGATAATTTTGTTTTCAATAAAAGAAGTAAATTAGATAATTTCAGAGCTCAAATCTGCCGTATTTCATAAAATATTAATGGTATTAGGTAATTCTGGTGAATTTGAAGTGAAAATTTATTTTAGATATATACAGGGATGAGATTTTTCCGCTTTTTAGCGGATTTCCGCTTTTTTCACTTTTATCTCTTGAATTTCAGCTTTTTTATCAAAAATTCAGATTTTTCTAAAAATTTCACTTTTTTTTATAAATATTCCGCTTTTTCAGAAAATGCACCGATTTTCAAAGAGAAACAGAAAATTCAAACTACATAGCTGCCAATCCTTTCTCATTTTTACTTATTTTAACTATTTTCTCCCCTTTTACTCGCAGCAGATAAGATTTTCCTAATTTTTTACCCGCCCTCCAGATAGATCCGATTTTTGTAGTTCAAACGACGCTGCTTCTGACAAGCCTTTTAGAGGTCCCAAGCCTGGAATCTGCTAATATC